CCTACCGTATTTACTCAGGTGACCAAATACTCCCCCTCGTGCAGCTTAGCATGGAATCCTGACTTGTAAACGGACCCTTAGTGGGGAAAGCTGAGCACCCAAAGAGGAGCATTTCCACAGTTCTCAGTTTGCACTTCAAGATCAGGCTGGTTTCTCCCGGCAGGAACAGAGGGGGTAGGTCTCTTCACTACTCCTCTCCACCAAAGAGTTAAGTAAGCTTGCCTGGGCAGATTAAATGAGCAAGGAGGCACCCCTTTCGGGTGGGATGGGGAGATAACAGTCTCTCCTGCTGTCAGTTACAGCCCGAGTTTTTCTTTGTTGCAGAGCGTGTATTTCTTGAAGGATGTGCCTGGGTGGATTTTTTGCAATATTAAAAAGCAAGGCCCCATTTCTTTCTCAGCTCTCACTGGGGTATTCTTTCCTTCTTTTTTGCTTTCTACCTCTTTCTCCTTCCCTTCTACCTTCTCTTGCCTCCTCTCTCTCCCCCTCTCACTCCCATCCCCATGCTTCCCTCCCCACCACCACGAGGCGCGAGGCACTCCCTTGCACTTCACAGAATAACTCCGTCAGAGAGAGAGAGACAAAGGACTCGCTTTATTTATTTATCCCCTTCCCCACCCACCCACCCCTCAACCGCCGCACGCTGCCTCTGGATTTATTTTTTTAAGAAAGTCCCTTTCCGAAAGCAGGCAGCTGGGAAGGAGAAGGGCGAGCCGCGTATGTGCCCGAAACGCGGGCGATTCCAACAATCACAGCCTGGGTTTCGGATCCGGATCGCGTTGCTTGCAAGAGGGCCGTGGATGGAAGGCGTCGCGCAGGACCGTTGGAACCGAACCTAAAGCCGGCAGGAGGGGATGGGTGGAAGGAAGGCAGAGCCATCCTCTCTCCCGGGAGACGGTCGCCAACCCACCTAGCCGACACCCAGAGCGCGCTCCTGGAATCCCGCGGCTGCCCTCCGTCCGCCCGGCCAAGCCCAACCCAGCGCAAGGGAGGGGCGGTACAGGTGGAAAAAGAGGGGGCGCGGCAGGGAGGGGAACGGCGACGGGGTCCATGCCCCGCTTGAATGGCCGAGGAGGTGGGAAAGGGGCGGGGCTATGCAAATCGCAGGCAGTAGAAGCCAATTGACTGAATAGGCTTTGGGTGCTCGATGCGAGAGAGGGGGATTTGTAAGCATATGCGTGTAGAGGAGGAGGGTGGCGGTTTATTTCCCCCTTTTTTCTTTCTTTTTCTTTTTCTTTCTTTCTTTTTTTTTGCCAAGTGGGCAGGAGGGTCCACAATCAATATTTTTTATTCTTTCTTCCTGCCTTCCCTTCCTCTCCTTTCCATCACCACCACCCCCGCCCCCCCACCCCACTTGCGCTCGTGCGCTCCTGGCGATCGGCCTGCGGCAGTCACGAACTTCGAAGGGGCAGCCCGCGCGTTCGAGGCTGGGAAGAAGCGGCACGGGGAGAAGAAAAAAAAAAAGTCAAGCGCGCCGTTCGGGGCGCCTCGGAATCCTCCAGCCGCCTTTGGCCGCCTTTCTGAACTTGCTCCGCCGCGAGCGCGCCAATGGATTGGGAGAAGAGAGCGGGGTTCCGCTCCTGAATTCCACTCCGCAGACCCGAATTGCGGAAGGCGCGGCACTTTCGATTGGGGTCCCCGGAGGAGCGCTCGCCTTCCTTCGGGCGAAGGGAACAGGAAGGACGGCGGCGGTGGGACGTCGCTCCCAGGACAGCTGGTAAGAAATGCCCGATAAAGGGCTGCTGAATCTTCTCTCTCTCTTTCTACCTCCCTCCCTCCTTCCCTCTCTCTCTTTCCCTCTCTCTGTCTCCGTCTCTGTCTCTCTCTCTTTCCCTCTCTCTGTCTCTGTCTCTCTCTTTCCCTCTCGGTTCTGGGTTGGGGGAGCTGGGAGCGAGCGCTTCTCGGCTCCTCCGGTGTCTTGGGTCGTCTGCGGCGGCGGGGTTCGCTCCGCTTGCAGGCAGAATAAAGGTACGTCTGCCCGGAGAGAGGATTAAGCGCCTAAGCAGATTTCTCTTCCCCGCTAATCGCCACCCGCACCTTCAAGCCTTCACCTTTGTCGCCGCCGCACTTCCAAATGAGTGAGTCTGGCGGCTCCGTCGGGAGAACAGCTGGGCGGTTCTCCCGTCTCTCGGCAAAGGTGCGGGACGGGAGGGGGCGCGGAGCCGAGAAGGGCGGGGAAGCGGAGGTCAGGGAACGTCGCTCGGCGCGGGGCTCTGGCGGCTTCCACTTTCGGAACTCCTTCTGACCTGATCCCGGACAGCGAAAGGAGACGGTTGTCAAGCGGAGAGCGGGAGACCGACCGACAGACCGACCGGTGGAGAGGAGGGAAAGAACTATTTCCGATTGCAAACTTTCTGCGGCCTCTTCCCATCCGGGAAGTAGGTTAGTTTGGCCCTTGTTTTACCTCCGTTGGCCCGGAAAGTGGAGCAGGAAATCCCGGAAAGTGAGGTGTAGAGGAAGAAGGAAGCCGAGGCAGACATCTGGACCGCTTTCACGCGAAACTGGTTTTTAAAAAAAACTAAGGTGGGATTGGAATCTTTATTAGTATCTCTCGGCCAAAGTCGGCCCTTTGCCCCAGAAAAAAGAGGGGGCTCATATAGCTAGATCTCTCTCCCCCTCTCTCCTCCTCCCTCCTTCCCTCTCTCCTCCTTTCTTCCTTCCTTCCCCCCTCTCTCTCTCTTCCCCCTTCCTTTCTTTCCTTCCTTCCTTCCTTCTTCCTTCCTCCTCTTCTCTCTCTCTCCTTCCTTCCTTCCCCCCTCCTCCTTCTCTCTCCCCCCCCCCTCTGTAAGAACGCGGGCTATTCTGTATGTTTGAGTGGCTGCCTACGATTATTTGGAGGGAACGCGGGAGGGTTAAAGTCCCGGAGTTATGAGAAGAGGCAGAGCAATAGAATAGGCGAAGGGGCTGAACGGAGGAAGAAGCCAGGTGACTTAAGAAAAGTATCACCTTTCCAGACCAACAAAGTATAGGGATTCGGCGTCGCACTGCATTGAAAGCACGCTCGACGTGTGTGCATGTGTGTTTCCGTGTAACCAAGCCGACTGAAGTATTAAGTCTTCAAAGTTCAGTCTCCCGAGAGACCTTCCCTCTTAGGTAGATAAACGCCGCCATAGCTTTAGAAAGGTGGCGGAATCGCGCCGCATCCGGGAGCCCCTTTCCTCACCGGTGCGCTGGCTCGCTCGTCGCTAGTGGCCCCGCGTCCAGAACAGGAATCCCGGCGCAGATCTGAGATGCGGGGCGTTTGCTCTGGACCTGCGGATCGCGGGAGGAGGAAGAGGAACTGAGTGGCAGTTCTGTGTACAACCTGAGCGGGAAGTCACGAAGCGCGGCTATATTTTGGGGTGACGGTGCGATCAGGCTGGTTCGGCGAAGGCTTGAACTCTCCAGGCTTCGGGAGAAACGAGCCGGGTAGGGTCAGACGGTCCGAGCGTCCCCCCTGTTCTCTCCCTCCCTCCCTCCCTGGCCTCCTTCGGGCGCCGCGAAAGAGCGGACGCGCTCCGAGTTGGCTGGTGCGCTGCGAAGGTTAGAGACTCGTCTCAGTTCGCCTGAGAACGTGCCGCGGTGGTTTCTCGATTGCCGACGCCTCGGGGAACTGGAGCGAGGCTCGTGTTTCTCTTGGCCCGAGAGAACAGGCAGCCTTCTTGCTTAAGAGGCCGGTGCTGAGCCAGCCAAAGCCTCGCTCGTCCCGTCACCCGCCGCGGGGATTCTGGAGAAAGACCCGGGCCGGCTGCTGAGCTCCGGAGCTAGGCAGGCCCCGCCGCGAGTTGCTTTTACCCGCGTCGCCGGCTGTCACTCCACCCGAGGGGAAAGCAACTGGTTTCCTCGGCGGGGCGGGGGGGGGGGAGTGCGCCTAAGGAATTTGTGCTTCTGATGAACCTTACGGGAAAAAACCCACCAGAAACGCGGTTACCATAAGCTTCGAGAGTTCTCCTTCATTCATTTATGAACGAACCCATTATATTGGACTGCATTAACGTATGAGAAAGAAAGAGAGAGGGGGGGGGNCTCCTTCTCCTTCTCCTTCTCCTTCTCCTTCTCCTTCTCCTTCATTTACCATTTCTGACTGCTAGACAGATTTTCTCCATGACAATCTACCCTTGACTTGGAGTTTTAGGTTCTTCTAATGACCCATTCATTGTCATTGTAACTGAGTTCTTCCACCATGTAGCTGGTTGTTCTCATCTTCTCTTTTCTTCTATCTTTCCCAGCTTTAGACCCTCTTCTAGAGAGCTGCATTTTCACATAATGGGTCCAAAGTAGAATAATTTGAGCCTGGTCCTTTGTGCCTCAAATGAAAACTCTGAGTTGATTTATTTGATGATCCATCCGTTTGTTTTCTTGGCTGTCCACTGTATTCTCAGGAGTTTTCTCCAAGACCAAAGTTCAAAAGCATCGATAGTCTTCTATCCTGCTTCTTCAAGGTCCATGTGAAATAAAAGCAGTCCTAAAAAGAATCCCTCACATACATATAAACCCATAGCCAGTAAGACAAATATCACACAGCAAATCCAACAGGCAGATAAATAGGTTTTTATCTCATCCTGAAAAAGGCCAGTTTGGGAAGGGCTGTAATTAAATGGCAACATGCAGGCATCTCCTGACAAAGGTCACAAGATCAATCCATGGGAAAAATTCCATCCACAGAGAGCATTGAGCTACAGGGCACAGTTGTTGCCCTTTCTTTGCAATAAAAGCATTGATTGAGGATACAGTCAGTGTTTCCAGAATCAGTTTTGTTAAAAAAAAATATTTGAATAACTTTTAACCTCATTCAGGTTGGAAGGATGGATGGATGGATGGATGGATGGAGGGATGGATGGATGGATGGACGGACGGACGGACAGATATCACATTATGTAATGTGTGTGTATATATATTATTGCAACAAAGGTTAGAAGTATGTTTTGCATTACAAAGGTATGCATATTTGCTATAAAATAGAATATATTCTATTCTTCGTGCAAGTTAAGGATCTAAACTAAAAAAAATCTGTGATGATGCAGTGACTAAAGAGTTAACCTTGGCTTGGCAGGCCCAAATTCAAATCTCTACCTGGCTAAGGAGCTCATGGGATGATCTTGGCACACACACTCTTTTTTAATTCAATCCTGTACAGGGTTGTTATAGAGGTGACATTATGGGAGACCTTTGTGTAAACTATTGTTTGTTCTCAGAAAAATATAAGTTCAAATCTATTGTTAAAAAATAATAAGCACAAACTGTATTGAAAAGGCTATTCCATTCCCAAGGAAGGAACAGGATTTCATTTTTGCAACTGGGAGCTAAAAATGATGCATAAAATCTATAAAATATATGTATATGCATTTTTGCTGATAAATAAATGAAGGGAGACTAGTATAAATCTATTTCAAGCTATCTAGCACTCATCAGCTAGCCATACCNAACGCGGTTACCATAAGCTTCGAGAGTTCTCCTTCATTCATTTATGAACGAACCCATTATATTGGACTGCATTAACGTATGAGAAAGAAAGAGAGAGGGGGGGGGGAGAGGGAGGGAGGGAGGGAGGAAGAAGGAAAGGAAGGAAGGAGGGAAGGAAGGAAAATAGAGAGAAAGAAAGAGAGAGGCGGAAGGAAGGGAGGAAGGAAGAAAAATAGAGAAAGAGAAAGAAAGAAAGAAAGAAAGAAAGAAGAGAGAGGGAAAGAGGAAGGAAGGAAGAAAAATAGACAGAAAGAAAGAAAAGAGAGAGAGGAAGGAAGGAAGGAAAGAAGGAAGTTGGTCGATTTTCTTGGCAATTAAATGAAATGCAAGTAGGGCCTGGCCAATGCCATTTTAAAAGGTTTCCAAATCCACACTCCAACAACTCCTTCTTTCCTCACTCCCTGTTCCTTTCCTGAGAATCCTCATTTCTCTCACTGCAGCATGAATGGCAGACAGGTTTTTTTTAATGAATGAGGTTTCAGTGGGGGAAAGGGATGCATCTCCTGATCTCCATGCATGGCAGGACATGGCTTTCAATAAAAATGGGCTCCCTTGTGCTTTCAGTCTTGTGCAGTCAACATTTGGGGAACTTTCACAGGAAACAGTTCAATTCATCTAACTGTTCAACTAGTCTGTTACAATAACCAGCATAAAGCTTGGTTAAGTCGAACCGTTCTGTCAAGTTCCTCTGGTGCTGTGTATCACAAACAAGCGATATTCACATCTGGCACAAGCAGGGGGAGAGAAATCCAAGTAAATCTCTCTTTTTTCCATTATTACACAAGGACTGAAATTTTTAAAAGAATACTCATTTTCTTAATGTACAGTTAGTTTGAAGAACTTACCACTATCAACATACTCAATGTGGAAGTCATTATGATCCACTCTGGGGGCCACTGGAATAATTGGAATCCCAAGGAAAAACCTGGAAAAGCCAATAAAACTCGGTCTGCAGTTAGTAACAAAGATGGTTGTGGAATGCACACTTTCCTTCTCAGTGTGTTTCTACACATACTACTACAACTTTTGGAAATTGGTAACTATTGGGCAAAGAATTCAGTAAACTTATTTTGTATTTGCTACCAGGTGAAAATTATCAGAGGACAAATAACATGCATAGTTATAAAAAGTGGACTTTGCAATAGATGAGGGGGGGGGAGGGAGGTTGGAATTCCCAAATATCTCTGCCATTCCTCTTCCTTCACTTCATTGTGATTTTCAATTAATTTTCAGTAGTCACCCAGCCCAGAACTAAACATTCAATCTTCATTGCGCTGATATTTTCTCCACTTGGTTTTTCTGCAAAGATTTTCCTCCTCCTGCTGATGCCTGCCTTTTATGAAAGGATGCAATTTTGACTACATAAGGAGCAGAGATGGGTTGTTCTCGGTTCAGCATGGATTGGGTGAACCAGTAGTGGTGGCGGTTGGAGGCTCCGCCCACCCAGCTGGACGCTTCTGTGCATACACAAAAGCGTCGCGCACACATGAACCGGTAGTAAAAAATAAATAAAAACCCACCACTGATAAGGAGCCACATTCAAGGCGTCCATACTGGCTTGCTTATTTATTAAACTAATTAAATTCTTCTGTTTGTATTATAGAAAGTTTTAAGCTGGTTAACAAAACAGTAGACTTATCCTAATAAACTAACAAGGTAATACCCTCACAGACAAACAGACAGTCAGCCTGACAGATATAGATAGATAATATAACACAATCAAAACATAGAATCACATGAAACTGCCTGAGGTTAGCAAGACAAACCCTTCTTATTCTGTGGGTGACAACCATTCCTATTTCAACAAGTCCTCAAAACTAGCTCTTCCAAGTTTGGGCAAAGTAGTGGCAGACCCTCTGGAGAGAACTAGATTGTCCATTCATTTCTCCCCCCCCCCTAGATATTTCCCTCTCAAATTTATTGCATTGTTATAAACTGATCATACACCATTCAAAAAACAAGAGCCTATTTGGTGTTGGGCTAAGGCAACAGGCTAGAAACAGGGAGACTGTGAATTCTAGCCTTGTCTTGGACACACAACCAGCTGGGTGGCTTTGGGCCAGCCTTGGGGAAGAAGTAAT